TAATAAGAAACTCCAACATTTGATTAAGATTCTTTTCTTTGGGGGGGGCCAGCAGGTGGCATGATGGTTAAGGAACTGGACTCCCACACGGCCAACCATGATTCAAGTCCCACACCTAGTGGCTTGCTTTCTCACTTTCCCTCTCTCTCTCTCTGATGAGCATATGTGCCCTATAGAAAATTAAAATAATAATAATAATAAAATAAATCATTCTTTTAAAAAATATTCTTTTCTCTGCCAGTAGTAACAATCTTCTTCTTGGCTATCATTTTAACAATGAAGCTTCTTAGGAAACATGGATTCTGAGATAGTATTAAAAGGGGTGTGTGTATTGGGAGGAAGAGGTATTTGTTCTTTCACAGATAAAGTTCCTTTTTTATTTTATTTTTCATTTACTTATTTAAGCAAGAGAGACAGCACAAGAGAAAGAGAAAGACACAGACCCTCAATAGGGTCTTGATATACAATCCTTCTCCAGTCAGCTCTGGTTCTTGGGCTTGTTCAGTGAGGACTCTGGAAGTGAACCCGGAACCCTCCCCACCATGTGGGTCAGTCCCACAGGAGCATGATACTACTGTGGTGCCCCCATTTAGCCCCCTCTGATATATTAAAAACAACATATTTATAATTACAAGTCGTCACCGCTTTACCTGAAGGAGTTTCTTGATGCACTCTTGGTGGCTATTCTTGGCTGCAAGGTGTAAAGCACTGTGTCCTAAATGAATTAAAAAAAAAAATGGAAATAAAGCTCACGATTTAAAATCTCTTATCTTCGCACTGAAGACAACTATGAGGAAATAAATTATTCTCCAACAAAGATGGAATTGTTCCTCTTAAGATAAGACTTCACATTCTTCAGGGCAGCCACTGCAGGAGAAGACAGCATCCCGCCCACTGATAACATTCACAGGCTTCAACTACCCTTTCTAGGGATGCCATTAAGCTCTGGGCAAGAAGCTTGCAGTGGAATCATGAAATACAGCCTAAAGTCCTACTTTCAGCTGTCAGTGTGTACACCAAATGTCCTGTGCCCGCCCACATGGTGACACGAGGCTATAATGACCCCAGCCCAGGAATCTAGTAAGGGAGCCCTGCCAGTCAGCTGAGAATATGCCAAAGACCTACACACTTTAATCCCTACATTTGGATTCTCATTTCCCTCTCCAAGGTAATCCAGCCCTTAGAGAAATTCCCTGAAGTTCTCTTCCGGACTCCAACATGAGATTTTGATGTCACTGTGGTCGGTAAGCCAAGAAACCCTACGTTCCACTTAACTCCCCCCACAGCCACATGAGTCTGCAGAATTTCTATTTGGGAGTTGGGGAAACAGCGGTTCCCACTCCAAGGCCTTTGCAGTGACTTTGCATTTAGCCTGAGTTCTCTTCCCCTAAGACAAGGTAAGAGCTTGCTCTTACCTTCCACTGAAAACCAGCTCCTAAATAAGAACTCTCCTGCCCTCTCCAGCTTCTCCTCAACCCTTTTCATCTTCACTCCATGCTTTATTTCTCTAAGAAGCACCAAGCACCTTCTCTCACTCCCTTCCCTCTCCTGTCTCTATAGACAAACATTTATTTATGTATAATAGTTACTCCTCCCCATGTACTAGGAGTCTGTCTGTCTTATTCCCTGCTGTATCCCAAGTGTCTACAACACTGAAGGTATATGCAAGAGGCATTCAAGACACTCCTGTCTCTTTGAATGAGAGGATATGCTAATTGCAAATGTCTGACATCAGGTCTGGGGGCAGAGGAACCCAAGTTATCAATGCTAGCCAACCCAATACATCAACCAAACTCTTAAGCCATGCATTTCCCAAGATATTTGACCAAGATATCCATAATATAACACCGGTAAACAACTCGTATTTTGGGACAGGCTTAAAGCATGGTTTCTCAACCTTAGCACTGTTGACATTTAAACTGCATCATTTCTGTGGGTACTTGTCCTGTGTGGTATAGGATGCCCAACAGCACCTCTGGCCTTTCTCTACTGCACATGTTCCTCTCCTTGCCCGGGGGTTATGTGCTGACAATCCCATCATAAGTGAAAAATATTGTTAAGTTGAAAATGCATTTAATACAGCTAACCTGCCAAGTAGCAATGGCATAGCTGAGCCTAGCCTCCTTGAAATGTGCTCAGAATACGTACATTAGCCTGCAGTTGGGCAAAATTGTCTAACGCTGAGCCTGTTTTGTAATAAAGTGTTGAATATGTCTTGTAATTTATTAAATAATGTACTGAAAGTGAAAAGCAGAACACTTGTATGGATAGCCAAACTCAAAATTCAAAGTACGATTTTTAATAAATATTGCTTTCATCCTGTCATAAACTTGAAAAATTGAAAGCTGAATCGTGGCAAGTTGAGAACTGTCTGTGGATATTCAGTAATGGCAATTGAAAATGTCTGCATGGGGCCTGCTGGTGACTTGGTGATTAGGGCTGCTGGATGGTTCGAGTCCCAGACCAAGTAGCTTGAAAGACACCTGGTGTGTGTGTACATGTATGCCCAAAATCCCTAAAGGAAGGAGAAATGGAGAAGAAATTATGAAGTGACCATGCTCCATAAGGGGTACTTTGTTTTTTTTCTCCCTCTCCCTCTCCCCTGCAAGCAAGTGCACATGCCCTCTGGAATATTAAAAAAAAAAAGTCTCCAGACATTGTCAAATGTCCATGGGGGCAAATGTACCCCAACTGAAGACCACTAGCTTAGATGCACAATTTCTTTTATATGATGGAGCCATTCCAAAATACCATCCTCCCTGCTGATTCAGTCTTCACTCTGAAAAACTGACCAGAATCCACTAATTAGAGTCCTATGGCTAGGAAACACCACTTTCAAAGATTATAGGATCGTAAAATCAAGGTTAGAGGCACAAAAGCTCAAAAGATCTGCATAAAGTCAAAAGATTATACTCTCTCTATTCTGATTAGCTGTAGTGAGGGTATACATGAGGGAGAGTTATTTAGTCAGGGTGGGATACTGAGAAGCGGGAATTCCTTCACCCCTTCTCCAAAGGATGACGATGACAATTAAGAAATGAGGAACCAGCAGTTAGTGTAATGTCGATGTTGCTGGACTCCCATGTGATCAGCCGCAGTTTGAGTCCCAAACCTGGTGGCTTAAACTCATGCCGGGTTCGTATGCGTGCGTGTCCAAGATCCAGAAAGGAGGATGGAGGAGAAGGGATTGTGGCGTGGCCATCCACCCTGGGTGGTGACTTCTCACTTTCTGTCTCTCTGTCTTTCTGGTGAGCACATGTGCCCTATAGCAAAAACCTCTCCAAAAAAAAAAAAAAAAAAGTCGAAATGAGGAACCAGCAGATGATGTAATGGTTACGTTGTTGGACTCCCACATAATCAACCACAGTTCAAGTCCTGGGCCCAGTGACTTATTCTCACGCTACGTGTGTGTGTGTGTGTGTGTGTGTGTGTGTGTGTGTGTGCTCAAGATCCCAAGAGGAGAACAGATTGCAGCCTGGCCATCCTCCCCTTAGGGGGTGATTTCCTGCTTTCTGTCTCTCTCTCTCTCCAGTGAGTGCACATGCCCTATAGCAAAAATTTAAAAAAAAAAAAAATGGAGTATGAGCTAAAATTTTTTGATATGTAAAGTAAATGTTTGTGGAAAAATGTAAAAATAAATAAATAAAAGGAAGAAAAAAATTAAAAAAAATAAAACAAAGTCAAAGAGATTTGTGAAAGCAGGAAAACAAAGATCTTCTCTTCCTCTTTCTTTTATTTTATTGTATAAGGTCCCATCTTTCCAGGATATATAAAGCATAATACTATGGGTTTAGTTACGTTACATATTAAATAATCTTTGGTAAGCTATCTTGCCCCCCCACTCCACCACCATCATTTATACCACTGTTTTGCTGTTTCAAGGAGCAGCACATTCTGAGTTTGAAACAAATGCCTTGCAGATGAACTTTTGGAACAAGTCCTGATTGTAAGCTGGAAATTGTTTACATCATGTATGTAATGCATTGTCTGTGCCATGGACAAAAGCTGTTCTGCATAAACAGTGCCTATTTGAAAAGGCACAGTACTCCAAAGATAAGATGGGAGGGAAATTTAAACAACTTCTCAGGAAATAAATAGCAGGATTTCATTTTACTTCAAGTGGTCTGGTCATACCTGGAAGTGAATGCTGGGTTTCCAGAGAGGCAAAAATTATTTTATTCCCTGGCCCTGTGATGTGTTTTCCTAACCAGCAGCACAAAGTATTTTTCCCTTACACCGACTCCAAATCCGAATGACGCATCATTCCCTGGACACTGTTACACTGAAGTGAGATGTTTCTCACTGCTAGCATGAAAATAGAAGTCTTTTTCCAAATGCTAAATTTTCTGGAGAGACTATATTAGTGACTGTAAGGAGACAATGTATAAATCTGGCTCTAATACAGCTGTGGATCTTCTGTCTGGAATATCAGGATCCCTACAGGCAAATAACAAGGGCAATCCTAATTCAAGTGCATTGCAATAGAATTTTGCCTACAAATAAAAAGACCAATGCTGTTACTAAATCAAGAGTCCTGAGCTATTACAGGTAGTCTAAGAATCTCTCTACTGATTAAGGCTCTGACCAGGAAGTGCGCCCCCCTCCAGCTGGAGAACACTTATTTCTAAACCACCTTAAACAGTGACCACTTATTCAATTCTTAAGATTGCTGAAGAAAATAGGGAAGGATTAACTAACATTAAAGAGGGATTATCGGTGGGGCTGAGAAAATACTTTTCAAGTGCATATAAAAAATGTTGAAACTGGGGCTAGCAGTTGGCATAGTAGTTAAGGTGTTAGACTCCCATATGGCTGACCATGGTTTGAGTCCTAGACCTGGTGGCTTAAAACTCATGCTGGGCATATGTGTGTGTGTGCCCAAAATCCTGAGAGGAGAAAGGATTGCATGGCCATTCCCCCGGGGGTGGGGGGGGTTTCTCACTATCTCTCTGTCTGTGTCTCTGGAGAGCACATGCGCCCTGTAGCAAAAATGTCTTTTAAAAAAAAATCAGTTTTAGAATGTAGGATAATTTTATTTAAATAAAAATGTATTTATTTGGTTCTTATATGTTTAGAATTTAAAATATATTTTGAAAACATTTTAGAAATTCTCATCTTTATGTAAAATTCTTTTCATCGAAGTACAAGTCCATTTCCCTTGTTACATTCCCTGAGGATAAGATCAGATTTTAAAATATTTATAATAAAAAAAAATTTATAATAACCATTCTCATTATTAAATAGTTATGAAACTGCCCCTCAGCCTCTCCTTGTTTTTAAAGCACATCTAGGTTCACATAGTGTTTTACATAGACTCAAAAGATGCTTTTGAAAATACTGAAATATTTTTTTAACTATTTATTTAATTTTATTTATTCAGTCATTTATTTTAATTTGACCATAGACACACACACACACACACACACATACACACAGAGAAAGAGAGAGAGAGACGGAAATTGAGAAAGTAAGCCACCAGGTACAGGACTTGAACTGTGGTCAGCCATGTGGGAATGTCCAGCGCCTTAACCACCACGCCACCTGCTGGTCCCAAAATACTGAAATATTTTGACAATATTGCCATGGCCGGGTCATGCTGATCATTGTATGTGGTGGGTCATTTTGACCTGCCCATACACATTCATGACAAATACTTTAAATCATCCAATCTTCTTTCATTTTCTTTTACTCCAAATTAAAATATGAAATACAGGT